AGCCCCAGGGCCTCCAACTCAGCACGCGAATGTGTTTGGAACGGGAAGCGGAAGTGAGCGCTACTCAGAATTAAGACATACTATTCTCTCTTCCAGGAGATCGCAAATGAAAATAGGTCAGAATCATAGGAATAATCAGCAAAGGACTAAAACTTGCCGTGGATGGGTAGTGAGCGAGGGAAGATGCGGATACGCAGGCTAACAGCGATGCCACTGCTAACTCTCCCACGGGACTCCGGCCACCATTTTGTCCTTTGCAGCTCAGTTTTGCCTCAAAATGAACCAAAAGTGAATCTTTCCAACCATAAAAATAAGCCAGTTCCACACATAATGGACACCAGATAAATCCTTTTTTTAACTGAGCTAAACTGAAGCAAATCCACTACCCAAGCCATGGTGAACCTACAAAAACAAATAAAACACTGCAAACCTGTTCAGAGACAAGAATTATTTTCAAACACCCCAAATTTGTTGGAATTTCATGGGATTCTGCATCGTGGAGGAGAAGGGAATAAAGGAGGAAGAGGGCAAGGTCTAAGTTTGTTTCAAAGAGGGAGAAACTTTCATTCTTTAGGAAGAAGAGAGAATTATTAGGAAACAGCGGGATAATGAAGGGCCACGGACTGCTGTGAACGTCTCCTGGTCTGACTGTGTCAGGGAACTACTTGCGAAGCTAGCTGGATTCGCTGCAGATGGCCACCGTGGTGTGGTTGTGGAAAACAGTCAAAAATATCCCTTGGGTTTGAAGACACCAACTCTGTATCCCCCAGAGAATGATACAGCAGGTTGGGAGGGCCCAGGAGCTGGGGACCACAGAGCTGAGGGAGCAGCTGGAGCGGGGTAGGGTCCAGAGTCACTTTCCCAACCCGCCTTGGTAAAAGACTTAAGCTTCGGAGATACTTTCTGGGAGGCTATTTTATCAATCCTTCCCAGGATGGACTATAACTAGTGCCATGATGCACTGGAGAGGATCCTGGTGGTGGGGGGAGGGGGGGGTAGATCATCCGGGAAGTGTGAATGCTGTCCCTGACTGGCTTCAGGGAAGTCGCCTGGCTGTGGAGGCTGATGAAAAGAGGGATGGGACAGTGATAACCAGGAAGTACAGAATGTAGGTCAAGTTCCAAGAAAGCTTGATCGGCCAAAGAGGAGGCCTGGGCAAAACATTTGGTTTTCTACTTAGTATTTAACTGAGTATTTCAGCCCATAGATTGCATGCGCGCGCACACACACACACACACACACACACACACACAGTCCCCGCCTTAAAGGTAAACTGGCCATGGGCCTAGAGTGCAATCCCAGCCCCTACCGCCTGTCTTCCATTCTGTTCCTTAGAAAGCCAGCTCTGCACAGACTGGACCAGTGGGGTCTGTGCAGGCTCTGTGTCCAGGAAACCCTGCCGCGCTCCCTGACCCAGGGAGGCTACTGTTCCAGGCATCGCCAACAAGGCACCCACTCCCAAGGCGCCACCTAATGAAAGCCTCATGTGTTGACTCAGGCTGCACACACGCTCTCAGGCTAATTCTAGCTGGGCTTTGCGCCGAAGGTATGACCTCACTGTCGGAAAAACCAGGGGCCCCACAAAGAAAAGACTGGTGTGTGGGCCAGACCTGTTCCTGACTGACGGTAGCCGGCTGGGATGGACAGAGACAGCCACCTCTTCTGAAGCCCCGGAGGACCAGGAGTCAGGGCCTGTGGGCCGGGAGGCACAGACATCTTACAAACCAGAGTCCTCAGTTCTGGCCCAAGCACTCCTTTTTTTTCTGGCACCATCCCCCCCCCAAAATCTCTACCATTCCACAAAGTTCGCGCTAAAGAGAAGTTTAATTAGGTAGGGCCAAATCTCCGTGGAGAATTCTCAGTTACAGAAGCGAGGAAGGAAGGATATAATCAGAACCTGACTTTTTAAAACATAGAATGGCTCAAAAGACCCCTTTAAGAGAAAGACATGGAAAAGCACCATTCAGAACCTGGTACCCCAGAAATTTCACTTACCAGCATCATTACAAACCAGGAAGAGCCACATTTCAACCTCGGGCTGGGCGTTTTTCACTTAGCTCTTTATACTCAGAGGCATTTAATAAATTGTGTCGGCAATTCCTCTGCCTACACTGCAGCACCGTTTTTCAGATGTTCTGTATTAAATCTTTTGTAGGCAACAGAACTTCGAGGAAGCTGTGCTTCAAAAGTAAATAAATGTGATTTTACCTGATATGGTCACCGTGAAATAGCAAATGACTTGGGCTTTTGTTAAAGGAACGAAGAGAAATTCTCTGCAAGATTTGCTTATAAATTCTGTCTTCAGGCATTGATGGCTGAGTACAAGTTGCAAAAAAAAAAAAAAAAAAAAAAAAAAAAAAAAAAAAACCCAACCTGGTGAAATATGAAGTCTCTTAAATTGCTCCATAACGGAGCATTTGCCTGAATCCTGATGAGCCCCTTGAATAACCATCGCACGAGATCCCTCGTGACTCCAAGGCCTCAGGGAATCAGGTAAGATTTGGGAAATGTAAAAATTCCCCACATGGGGAACATTGAGTGAATATCAAAGAACAAGGATTGGCTTTGATGAAGATCCGTCAATCTCCTAAAAGTTACTCTCCAACAATAAGCTCCAGCTTGTTTTTTATTAAAGTTGCTAATTCCATTTGTTTTTAGTCCATTTGACTAGGTTTATAATATTATACTAGTTGTTGAGAGATTCAAGGCATAAAATTTCAAAGAACTTACATACTTACTTAGAAGCCCGGTGCACAAATTCATGCACCAGTGGGGTCCCTCAGCCTGGCCTGCAGGATCAGGCTGAAACCAGCTCTCCAACATTCCCTGAGGGGTCCCGGATTGCAAGAGGGCACAGGTACACAGTCAGGGCCAGGGAGGAATGATGGAGGTTGGCCAGCCAGGGAGGGACAATGGGAGGGCTCCAGGGCATGTCCATCCCATCTCACTCAGTCTTAATCGGCCAGACCCCAGCAGCAAGCTAACCTACCAATCCAAGCAGCTATCCCCTGGTGGTTAGTGCATGTCATAGCAAGCAGTTGAGCAACCTTAGCATATCATTAGCATATTATGCTTGATTGGTTGAACGGATGACCATTGACTAAGCATATTGGGCTTTTATTATATAGGATATTCATAATCCATGGACAATAATGTGGTGAAGGCCTGTGGGGGATGAAGGGGATAAAGGCTGGTGGAGGGGGACAAAAGAAGGGGAAAATGGGGGACATATGTAATACTGTCAACTATATATACTAGAGGCCCAGTTCACAACATTCGTTCACCCGTGGGGGAAGAGGGAAGGGTCCCCTCAGCCTGGCCTGCGACATCCTTAGCATTGCTTGCCATGGCCTCTGTGCTCAGGGCTTCTGGCTGAGCAGTGCTCCCCTTGTTGGGAGCGCACTGACCACCAGGGGGCAGCTCCTGCATTGAGCGCCTGCCCCCTGGTAGTAAGTTCACATCATAGCGACCAGTCATTCTGCTGTTTGGTCGATTTGCATATTACCCTTTTATTATATAGGATATTTTTAAAAGCATATAAAATAACCTTAGTTCCATATTCAGATGTATAGATTAAAATATTTATTATTTTAAAGAGAAAACTTTTTTCTGGAAATTATCTCTGAAATAATGATGGGGGTCAATGGGAAAGTGGTTTTGCTATACAATATGTGCTTTGCTTGAGCTTTTCAGAAATACTTCTAAAATTCAGAAATACAGTCAAGCCTGCAAAGACAAAACAATTCACAACCCATCAAAGCTACAAGGACAAGGTGTGGTCTGCTCACACAACTGAACATCCTGATAGAGCATCTCTGTCCTGAACTGGAAAAGGAATGTCCACCGTTGCAGCTGGAGGCCAGTGCTGTGGTTCACTCACCATATGGTCACCCAACTGTCAATCTCCCAGGTTCCACAGGAAACTAGCAGAGAGTCCCGTTCTTCCAATCAGCCTGCAGCCCAAGCAAACATCTCCCTACAACAGCCTTGGTTCAGAAAGACTTTTTGGGCCCCTTCTCTGCTTTCTTTCACTTGGTCTATTCTTCATGTTCTACCAAGAGTCCCAACAGTCCACCACTATGCACCCCTTAACCTTGGAATCAAGCTGTTTTTCTTGTATTAACAAGAAATAAGCAAATAAGAAGGCTCCTCCTTGGATGTTCAGCCTAGGCAGGATATAAATGTCAGAAGGGTCACACTAGTTTGGGATAGACGAGTAGGGTTTTAGAGTGTGTATTTGTGTGTGTGTGGGGGGGGGGGGGTGGAACACGACGACTTAAAGATTATCTAACACAATGAAACTCTTTTCCCCCAGTAGGTAAAACAGAGCGAAAAGAAACTGTTATAACCACACAATAAAATATGATTTGGCCATAAAAGAGACAAACGAAGTGCTGCAACATGGATGGACCTTGTGAGCATTATGTGAAGTGAAAGAAGCCGGTTACAAAGGCCCACATGCTTCCCGGCTCCATCTGTGTGCAATGTCCAGAAGAGGCGATCCCAGAGAGATCGAAAGCAGGATAGTGGTTGCCTAAGTCTGAGGGGGGCTGAGGGGTTGGGGGTGATGACTAAGAAGCACGGGGCTTCTTTTTGGAGTAGTGAAATATTATAAGATTGATTACAGTACTGGCTGCACCAATTTGTGCCCTAGGTTAAATGGGTAAATTTTATGATGTGTGAATTCTATCTCAATAATGCTATTTAAAACACACACACACACACACACACACACACACACACACACACACACACAAAACAGCCTTGTTCTTACTGCTTTGCCAACCAGACCTCCCTCACCCTGTTCCCTCTCGTGGCCCCAGAACTAGCTCTGCAGGCGCCTAGAGCTGATGGAATGATCTAGTCTATGTTTCTTCTCCTCAAATGTTATCCAAGACATAAACCCATGTCCTTTGACTCCAAGTGCAGGGCCCTTTAAATCAAAAGCCTCGCTAATGAGTGGAGGCTCAGTGGGGAGAGGCTGCTGGCCTGGGTCTCACCGTCCATGTCCAGGCGCTGCATGATGATGGCCAGCTCCACCTCGCTCGGCATGTACCCCAGGGAGCGCATGGCCATTCCCAGCTCCTGCTTGGAGATGAAGCCATTCCCATCTCGGTCCAGAACCCGAAAGGCCTCTCTGATTTCTACAAGGAGAAAGCAAAGAAAGTCCAATGGTCACAGGGCTTGGTCTATAGCATTAAAATTATTGGTGATTATCTACTGAAAATTCCTAACCATTTTACAGATAGTGATGTGTCAAAACTCTTTACTGCAATAAAAGAATGGCCAAAAGAGGAACCAAAAAATGGAAGAAAGAGAAAACGAAAGAAAAAAAAAGGGGGGGGGGGTAGGAAGGGAAAGGGGACAGCAGGAGAGGGGAAGAAGGAAAAGAGCTTTGGATAGAGGAGGTAGCTGGCCCCGAGCATCCCAAAACACTGTAGCAGGTACACCGTTAGACAGTGGTCCGAGCAGAGAGTCACGTTAACCAAGGACACCTCCTGAGCAAGGATGAAGATGAGGTTTCATCTGTGCGGAGAGAATATGCCTTTTAACCTTGGCCATCAGTTGGAAAGGAGAATGAGATTCCTATACAGACTTACACCCCGGCTCCCTGCTGCTGCAGGAGCTGGCAGAGGTTCTCCGCCTCATAGTAGAACAGGAGTTAAGTATCCTGCTGTTTTTATTTCATTCCTGTAATTTACAGTTGTTTTATGGCTATAAGCAACTTCAGATCGATAGGAGTGTCATAAAAACCCAAAACAACATCTTTAATCACATTCGCTGGGGCTGGCAGAGAATTTGACTCTGCTATCAACAAGGCCATTTCACTCTGGCAGGTGGTATCCTGTCCTCCTACCCCAACCGGACTTGCTCTGCTTTCCACTCAGAAGCCTTCCCCCTGTGGTGCTAATTCTGGGTTGGCTGAGTGTTTCCTAACACATCACAACCCTATGAGGCATGACATGAATCCGAGATCACAGTCTGAAGATGAGATGTTCGTCCATCCATCGTCTCTGAGCACCAGACTTGGCCAGCTTTGATTTCTCATCAGTAATCCCAGTGCAAACCCAAGTAGGGCAGCTGCCAACCTTCGTCATGTCATTCAACAAGTATTGGCTGTTTGTTCCGCAGAGAAATATAAATAGCCAGCACCTGCTGGGTGCCCTGGTGCTCCTTCAGAGCCCGACACTCCAGTCAGGAAGGTGAGAGCCACACAGAAACTTGCAGGAACTCTTAAAACTATTACAGACACTTGGCCCTAATCCGCTTAGTTACCACTTTTCTAAATAGCTGGCTTGCTCCCAGCAGATACCTTGAACCACTCCCTTTCCTAAACAGGCTTTGCCCTTTCCTATTTACATTCATTTCCTGTGGCTTCTGGAACACATTTTGATGGCTTAAAACAACAGAAAATGTATCTCACTGAAGGCCAGAAGTCTGGAATCTGTATCTTTGGATCAAAGTCAAAGAGGACAGGAACACTGAAGGCTCTGGGGGGAGAGAGGGGGTTTATTTTTGCCTCCTTCCACCTTCAAATGGCTGCCAGCATTCCTTGCCTTGTGGCCCCATCACTCCATTATCTGCCTCTGTGGTCACACTGCGTTCTCCTCTTCTGTCTATGATCTCTCTCTGGACCCCTATGTCTGCATTTAGGGATCACCGGACAATGCAGGATAATCTCCCCATTTGAAGATCCTTAATTACATCTGCAAAAACCCTTTTGCCAAGGAGGCAGCATTTACAGGTTCCCGGGAGGAACACCTAATACTGGCGGGGGGGAGAGGGGGGTGTAGAGGGGAGCTGTTTTTCAGAATGCTGCACTATCCCACCCATTTCTTTCACCTGACACACCCTGCCTTCCTCTTTACCTGCCAAATCAAATTAGTCCTTCAAGGACAAGCTGTGGAACCCACAAAAACATCTTTGCTCACTACTGTGCAGCCAAAGTCATCTCCTTTTCTGTCAAGCATTCAGTAGGTCGTTCATTACTTTCACATGACATCTAGATGATCCATCTAGAAATAAGATGACTGGTGTAGAAACCAGGGCTTCTCCTCTAAGCTCCTCACACACTTCATTCATCGCTATATGTTCCCACCCACACTCAGAAGGGGGTGATAGACAGATGTTCAATGGATGGGGGATCTGAGTAAATTAGGATGGTACATTAGTAGCAAATCCATCATCGATACCAATTCCAGACGTGAATGCTTCCTGCAAATAGATGTGGGCTCCAGCAGAGACAAGACCAGCCAGTGAGTCAGGGCCCTCGGCCCCGGGCCAGGTGGATTAACTAATTAAGTTTGCAGCCAGAGCCTGAGGCCTCAGTTTGCTCATGTGTAAAATGAGTTGGTCAGCCACCAGGATCCCTAAGCCCTCCTTTCTGTAGACCCGTGGACATGGTTAAAATGTTTCAGAGAAGAACAGGAAGCTGTGTTCTCTTTCATGCCCTATAAATCTGTTCTTCAAATGTTCATTTTTCCATGGACTATATAGAAAAAAAAACAACACAAAAAAACTTTAGTCCACTCCAAATTCTGAATCAAGGGCTTTGTCTGCACTTTTATGCTTTCTCATCAACAAAACCTGCCCAATATCACCTAAAGGGGCCATATGTTTTCCTACTAAGTCCTTGGCGGCCTGAGAAGAGCTTAGTGCTATTGCTCGGCTTCAAGTCATGGCACTCGGCGCTCAAGGACACTGTGGCAGAGACCACGGCCGCACCTGAGCCCAGGTCCCAGACACCAACGGCAGGAGGATGCGGAGACGAGGTCCCTGAGGGGGGAGTGAGCACAGGAGGAAGCCTGTCCGACTCTGCCCTGCAAACTGAGTCTCCGCCCCCATCGGTTTCCCCATCCGAAACATAGATTGGGCTGGGTCTCCTTCTGGCTTTTCTAGCAGGGTTTTACGCGGGGCTGGCTTGTCCTATGCAACAGTAGAAAATTGTCAGATGATGGCAAGGGCTCACAGAAAAGGGATCACAGAAAAGGCCAGGGTGCCAGCTGGCCAGCTTGAGGGTCAGCTGCAGGCAGAGCCCTTCCCCGTGTCCTCTGGACCACTCCCTTCCCTGGGCGCCATCTCCACTTCCCATCCCTCAGGTTCCAGCCTGCACCCTCTGGGCTGTTGCTATTACTCCGAAAGGGTGATGCCCTCCTGTTGACAGGACGGGGCCTCATTCCTGTGCTCCCCCTGCATGCTCTAGACCTTTCCAACTAATGAACCTGTATCCTTCCACTGGGCACCCCAGAGGGGCCTGGCTGAGGGTGTTGGAGAACTTGGTCTGGAAATGAAGGCCTTGGCGTTTGTGCCCGCTGATCCCAACCCAGCTCTTAGGCTCCTCCCAGAGTTGCCTCACCCTGAGGCTCCCCGATTTGGTAAGGCAGACCAAAGATGGGTCACCCCAGCACTACCATGCTGTGAAGGGACATGCTCCTTCCAGGCCTCAAAACCCCTCGGTTGGGCCTATCTGCAGTGTGTAAGCAGGCAGACCCTGTCCCAGCCCAGCACCGGGCAGGCAGGCACTTAATTGGCTCAGAGTTTTGTTTTCTGTGCTATCCCCCCCCCCCACCCCAAGTAAGGGAACAAAACCTTCCTCCACTGTTTGCATAGAATATCTGTTCCTGGCTCCCAGGATAAAGCTCACTAACTTAATTTCTTTCAAAATATCAGAGAATAATAGTTGTGTGTTTTTTTTTAAAGATCGAAACTAGAAATCCATAATGGGCGCCACTGGAGAGTTAGTGTAAGGGAAGCCCAGCCAAACGAGCAGCTTATTAGGAGGAAATGGGTCTTGCAGTCTGAGCATGTGATGTGTGCCTCATTTTATTTTTAATAGCGAACAGGGTGTGAGAAATATGCCCATAAAACCAGCGGAGACACTGGAGCAGGCCAGGTCCCACTGCCTCCGGCTGCAGGCGGCCAGCTCACAGCGCGGAGGGGCTCTGGCCGCTCTCCCGCTGGGAAGTGGGAAGCACGGATCGAGTGTTCAGAAAGAACCCAGTAAAGTGGTGCGCTTTCCCCTGGAACACGTCCCCACTTTGGGCTAACGTCCCGTGAGCAAGCGTGCTATGCATTTGGTTTTCAATTCAGTCTCAGGCTCACGCGACACACGCACAGCAGGCACGGGCCTGGCCACCCCCACACCCAGCAGGGGCATCTGCGACGGGGATCGAGCCTGCCCGACAGTCCCTGTGTGAAAGGAAACACGTGAAGACACATCTTCTAAGAAGAGCAATCATTGTCTGCACATGGACTTTCCCAGAACCAAATCCACATTCCCACCGGGATCCAGGCTTCTCCACCCTGGATGGATATGGTGGTCTGGAGCCAAACAAGGCCCATGGGGGCCATGGACCTGCTCTAGAGCCCAAGAGATTGCTTCTCATTGCGCCTGCAAGTCTGTTTGCCTTTCTTTTCTTTTTAAAGAATAGTTTATTGATCTTTACAGAGAGGAGAGACATTTATCAGCTACCTCCTACCAGGGATGGAACCCGCAACTTGGGTATATGCCCTGACCACGAATTGAGCCAGCAGCCTTTGGGTGTACAGGATGATGCTCACCTATCTTTGCCATGCCGTCCAGGGTGCAAATCTATTTTCTGAAAGGTCTCCACAGCCACCACAGGTACCATCTGTAGCCTGACCCAGTGCTCTCTGAGCACCAGGCCTCGGTTCCATCATGCACCCTAGGGACATAGCTAATTGGAGCAATAACAACAGCAAGGGCACACCTTGCATACGGAACAGACTCATCCATCAGGCGCTGAGCGGGGTGTGCAGCCGGTGAAATCCAGACCTCAGCCAGAGCCAATAGTCACCAGCTCACGTCTGGCTTTGAAGGCTCGGCTGGAATTCACAGCGCTCATGTGCAAAGTTAGATCAGGAACAAAGAACAACAGTTTCTCATGACATGCAAAACCTGCTTGTTCTCCACAGAAATGCATCTTTAGGAAGACCGTAGGCCTAACGCACAAAAAGAGATGGCTCTTTCACAAGATGAATTCTGTGGATGTACGTCATTGAGAAATCGCAGCACAGGAGCCAGACGCAGTTCAGCAAGGCTAGGCAAGGCGGTTATTAAATAACGACACAAATGTACCAGGAAATAGAAGATACAAACTTGGAGGTCATTTTTCCAGAAGAA